TTTTCTTTCCTGGTTTGAGTCCCTGTAAGAGAAAACTTAATGAGTCCACAATATCAACCCAGTGAAAAAGATTACAGTGGAGCATGGCACACTATGCTCTTTGGCTCTGAGTTTTGGCACATGTGTGTATTTTCCCCACACATTTTCACTTGAACGTGAATAATTTTAACCTTATACCACAAATTTAGCACAGAAAATAGAGCTCTCCTGTAATAAAAAGAAAGTCTGAAAGAGCCCAAGCAGAGCCAGTGAGCCAGCCACTGCTCAGCCTGATTTTTGATCACTTGTTACTGCTTGGTCCTTCCTCCACTGGGGGGGAAGGACGCTCATCTTGACATCGTCACTGAAGGACAAGTCACACACGATCCTCCTTCACTAACCAGAATCCGCTCGGCAATAGAAGAGGGCTTCACTCAAGTCGGTATCCATCCTATGACTGCTGTGATCCTTGTTCCGATCCTGGTGGCGAAGACTCATTTATCCATTGCCTGTCAGGAGCATTTTCACTCGTGCAGGTATTTCGCAGGGGTTAAGGTACCTTTAACAGGACATGGGTGTAAAGTCTCTGAAACACAGCGATATAACGGCTAATCACAGGGACAGTCAATGGTGGATAACATCAAGACCTCACGGCATCTCATGACCATGAACAGAAACAGGTAGGTACATGTTAGAGAAGGATTTGGGGTTTTGTTATTTTTTTGATTGTTTTTCAAAGGGTTCACAAGATTTTTTTTTTTGCTGTACACCATTTAATTTTACTATCATTTAAAATATGGAGCATATTCTTAACGCAAGTATGTTTGGGAAAAGAGCCTGGCATTTGGGGAAGCAGTAATATGTCTTGCCAGATGCTGCAGTTCCACTTACGCTAGATAAAATTTTGGTCTGAATCTGGGTATTTTTGGAGAGTAAACTGGATTCCGAAACTTACTTTCCCAGCTAATTCCACATCCGCCTGGCAAGCTTGTGCCTTTTTCCCTGACAGATTAAATATTACTCTATCCCATGTGTAAGAGTCTTGCAAATATCAAAGCAGTGACCATATATAGGAATGTATATTTTTGTTATTACAAAACTTGCCTTTTCCAAATTGCTTTGGAGAGTTCACACGTGCAATTATTATTTTTTAAATGGAGGGGACGCTTTTCGAGCAAACCTGGCTGTGTCAGTGGCAGGACTGGACCTGCGTCAGCAACAGCAGGGCAGGAGGCCACCAGTCCTCCACCCACCGTAAGCGTTCTCAAAAACAATGTAAAAAACTCATTTCCAGCTTATTTGAAGCTTAGCATTTCGGTGTCATGGAGCCAAACGCAGTGCAGGTGCCTGACCATTCCATACTGGCTCAGTATCAAACAGGCTTCGTATCAGCTTCTAGTCACAACTAACACTGACTAGATTTCAACTCCTTTCATTATTTTTACTGCCCCTGCTAAGAAAAGTGAACAAATGAACACACTGAGATTTCCTTAAAACTCAGATTCAATTATCTAAAGCTGATGGGGTAGAAAAAAAGGACACATCTCAAACTGAAGATCCACCTAGCCAAGGCTGCGACACCTAATCATGACCAATACAAGATGATTAGGGAGACAATTTAAAAAAACGACAGGTAAAAACCAAACCATCCCCCAACCATGCCCCCTTCCCCCAACAATCTGCAGCATGGAGTTGTTTCAGAAATGGTTTTAAAATATGAATTAACCCTTTAATCTCAAGGCTAAAAGAACATTGCACAAATCACTCATGCATCCTCTGCTCAAGGTCAAGTAATTTCCATTGCTTCAATACGTTTTTCTTCATAAACCGCTGCCTTTGTTCACACGTGAGCAGGAAGCAGCCCCTGCAGTAAGGGCAGCAGCTGTCCCAAGCCTGATCTCCCGAAATTCAAGCGAGCAGCTTTGGCACAGCAGTAAGACAGCTCGCTAGGCAAAAGCCTGACTTGCAACCTGGCTGTATCAATCCACGTTTTATCAGAGCAAAGTTCCACCTTAGCAGGAATCAAGCTTCTACTTCTTTAAATGGGCATCTTTATGGAAGGCAGTACCTTGGACACAGCACTGCCAACCTGTCTGCAACAGAAACCAAAAGTGAGGTCTACAAGAAGTACTGTTTCCGTAAGTTTACCTGAAACCGTGAAGAACTTGAGAACGGCAAGGTAACAGCAACACGTCATTTATTTTGGAACAACTCTGCTGCCTCCTAGGCAGGGGGATGCTCACCAAAGAAAGCTTTTTGTGGTTTTGTTGGAGGGGGGATAGGGAGGCAAACAGAAGGCAAAAGGACAAGGTTACTTACTTGTAAATGCCAAGATTAAAGTCAGGCACTAGCGCTGTATCAAAAAAGTAAATTAAAGGAGCAACAAACCATAGAATCAGAATATCTCAAGTTGGAAGGGACCCATAAGGATCACCGAGTCCAACTCCCTGCTCCTCGCGGGACTAACTAAAACTAAACCATATGACCAAGAGCATCGTCCAGAAGCTCCTTGAGATCTGACAGGCGTGGTGCCCTGACCACTTCCCTGGGTTCCAGTGAATGACCACCCTTCCAGTGAAGAAGTGGGTGCACGCAGTAAGTTTAATCGTTAAGAAAACCTTTCTGTTCCAGACGTTGAAGGAGATTTTCACCCCAATGTTTCTGTGAGCACAAATCAATGCAGATTTTTTTCATCACTCAATCACCAGGACTCATCCAGGCAGGACTATCTCATTATGCCTGACAGTGATAGAAGAGATATGGAGGCAAACCCCTCCTACTGCTGCGGGAAAACTTGTATTGCTTTTATTTCCATTATAAGCCTGTACTAGGAATAAAGGACCCCACTATTACCTATATAGTTTAGGTCTTTATCTAAGGTTTGACACAGAAACCAGAGAAACTGAGAGGTTTCTTCAAACATGATTAACTTGAACAGATACAGTGGAGTCCTTGCTAAAAGCTAGCTTCTGTATCGTTTAGGTATTCCTGACATGTGCTGGGACACTGCACCCTCAACACCCCTAGCAAACACACTCAATTCTTATGGGCAATATCCTCCCTAATCATCACGTGAACCCCATTTTGTCTCTTTCCTCATCCACAATAACTCTTGCTGTTCTTGTCCTGACCCTCTCCTGAGCATCAGTTTGTTTCCAATGGAAAAAAAAGATTTCATATTAAGTGGACAAATCCCAAACTCACTTTCATGAACAATTAAAATCTACTTTCTTTGCATGCAGAAGAGACTAGGACTAGTCAGTCTGCTGAGACTATTCAGTTTGCTCACTGACCACAAGCTTGTTATTTTTGTCACTCTCCTTCAACTGCTTGCATGTCATTTGCATTGTTTAAAGTCAAAACAAGATCACCTCAACTTGCAGCTACAGTACTTCTCATTTCATACATCACCAGTCATGCTGGAATCACAACTTTGCATGTTATTTTGTCAATGTGCAAGAAGCAGAAGAGAAACCAGCTTACTCTTTTGAAATTACATTGGCTCTGCAGTGCTGACAGCAGGAAAAAACATCAGTCAAGTTAACAGATATGACTCAGGACAAACAGAATTCCTGTTTCAGTCTCATTTCTGGCCATGTAGCCACCCTAGCCCTAAGGATACCAACCAATGCGACACTGTTCAAGAGCACTGCACCTCCACTAACTATAAACTTGCCCATTTCTGGTGCGTATCCCTGCCCTGGCTCGTCGTGGTTGGCATCAGCAGCATTTGCACAATACTATTCCCTCAACTGAGAAGTTGAGAGCCCTCAACTTCTCAGGTGTTTGTTTAACAGAAATTTGCTTATTCACAATTATTTTCCCTTTCCTTTACCTTCCAAATTCTGTCCTGGTTAGTTCTTTAGTGCTTGACTACAATCTTTATTCAGATTACACAAGATCTACTTACGATCAGTATGGTATGTGCTCATTCAGCTGCCCTAAGACCTAGCACTGATAGCAGAAGAGGAGAAGGCTGAGAGCAAGGGTTTCCTTGGGGCTGTTAAACACACCATCGACATGTGACCTCCGCTGTTCCCTCAGAGGTTGAGGTCCTTTGAAAGCAGCAACGCTCTTTCAGGCTTCAAACAGAACACAAGATCGGGACATGAATTTCACATTGACATTTTTATTAACGCCAACTGTTTTAATTTTTTTTTTTTTAAACAATAGCACAAAAATGTTTCAGGGAAGCAGTCTGACAGTTAGTCTGATGACCTTCTGAAATACAGTTAAGCCACACCAAATACGAATTCCTGTTAAAGAAAAAAGAAATAATATATGGAACTCCAACCTTTGTATTAGAGGGTGCTGTGTCTGGTTAGTAGACCACGCTGCTTTGTGAAGTAAATGATGGCACACAGCTTAGACTTCATCATCACGCCAGTCATCACTAATTTAAGGCTTCTGAATCAAATTACCATCAACATCACAGAAAGGAACGAAAAGCTAGTGTTGCTACGGCCACGAGGAGATTGAACAAGCTGGATCTTTTAGACAAGTAACGGTGTCTTGAACAGAAGAGACCTGCCCTAACAGCAGCCAGGAGAACCAGTCACACAGTAGTTATCTCCTCATTTGCATGCATTTTGAGGGTGCAATTTAGTAAGAAAAAAAATAAATTGCATGAATCTTTCTCTTATTTAATGTGGCTATGAAAGATGTTTCCTTACAATTCCATTATCTCTAAGAAGGACATCAGCAAGTGGAACCAAGGAGAAAAACCGAAGAGCAACAGAACATTTTTCTTTTTGCTGAGAGGTAACACAAAAGGGAGGGAACCTACTGTCCTTGGATTGGGGGGGGTTGCAGGAACATCTCCCCAAACCCTTGCACTTAGAATGATGCACAGACTCTATGATATACCAGCTACCTGCCTTTCCGAGTGACCTGTTCCACACAACGCTCAGAGGCATTAGCCCATTCTTGCCCCAGACTCTCCACAAAATTCCACTGACCTAGAAACCACTGGTTTCCTTTTTTTGGGGAGGGCTGGGGGAGGGTGTAAAAAACAGAACATCTGTCAATAAGAGTGTCAGGAGGGGGGTGTTAAATATTTTAACCACTGACAAGGCTTGAGGAAGTTTCACAGTTTTGTTATGCTCTATTTTATTACTATCATATTTACAGATTTTTCTCTCTTTTTTTTTTGCTGAATTGCTGATAATTTTAATAGAATTTAAATCTGGAGTGTGAGCAGGAACCAGTTAACTACATTCATTGTCCAATCCCCATTGGTTTGAGAAAAAGACTCCAAATTCTTGGCATATGAATCAGCTGTTGGGTAGCTCCTCCCTCTCCCCATGAGGCGGCAGCAGGACTGCAGCAGTGGCATGCACAGATTCACACCATGGCTGGTGGGGCCTTGCGCTGCAGAAAATATTGGTGGATGTTCTCGGCGTCCCGCTTCAGCCAAGCTGCATTCAGCAGAATATTTTCACAGCACTGCTGGACTGTGCGTTCTGCCGATGGAGCTGGGTGACTCTCAAAGAAGGCCTGTTTAAAAAGCAGAGAACCATCCATAAGGGTATAAACAGGCATAGACAAAATTATATTTTTAAGTCGCCAAATTCCCTAGGTTATATAGAAATGCTTTTGTGAATTATGTTCCTCGTCTGACTACAGTTCACACTATCTGCTCCCATCAACATCACAGACTCTGAAAAATTTGCAGGGTGCTTGCCCGCATTTGCAAGTCGTGTAATCCCAAGTACAAAGGGGGAATAGCAAAATGCCTCCATTTCTCTGCTAAAGGAAAGCCACGGTAGCATTTCTATGAACGAGCCCAAATGCTGCCTCCTGTCCTGTCTTGTCCTTGCTGCCAGGGACAGCAAGTGGCACTTGAAGAGATTAATTCAGTCTCTCATTGGGAGGCAACAAATGAGCAGCAAATCAAGTGTGTATTTCTGGATACTTGGAAGAAGACACTAATGGAAGCCTAAGGCCATTTTGCAAAAGCATTTGTCTAGGTATCAGATTTCTTAGCACTCTACCTAGGCCTCTTTCCAAGCTGCATAATGACCTCCAAGCACCAGCAGCACTCAAGAGTTTTGCTGAATATTCTCACGTTTCTTCTTCCAGAATCAACAGTATTGATCCCCTGCAAATAGCTGAAGCTTAAGAAACTGCACCAGAGGCTCCTGTGACTTTGCACTTTACAATTGGTTAAAGGGTAGAATAAGCTGGCGTGGCCGGGAGTCATCCCCCATCTTCACGCAAGCAGTATTTGGCAGATCACCTCACACTAACGTACGCTACAAGGTGACATCAGACACATTAACTACCCCAGCTAAAAGCTAGGTATACTGTCTCAGGAAGTTCTCTTGTAAAGTAGTTATGATTTAGTTATGGATGATTGTTCTGGTAAATACTTTGGAAAATGTTCTTTATGAAAAAAATTGACTATAGTGCAAGATTTCTCTGTAAAAATCACTCATGCCACTAAATCTTTGCTAAGAAGAGATCACTAGATGATAAAAAAAGATAGATAGAGCTCATGGCTCAGCATATCTTTGAAATAACAATTCCTCTCGAGCGTTTTCCTAACAGGAAAGTGGTAATTAAGGGCCATATTTTTAAGTTTCTTCTTCCAAGAAGGAGTCCCTGTAAAAGTGCGGGCAAAGAGTAAAAAATAAAACCTACACACATTTTTAAAACGCTACCAAGACCAGCGCCTACACTCCCAAGTCAGAGGGGATGCTCGAGTCCAGTAATGAAATCACATCACCTTGAGCCACCAACTTCAAGACAGACTCTCTGCAAACACATTACTCTGCCTTGTGTCAAAGCCTTGCTCTTAGTACACAGCACAAATGACCACATAAAGCTTGGCCCTACAATACGGAATTTAGCCAACTTCTGCCATGTTAATTCCCCCAGGAGTCCCTGGGGGCTAACACAGTCAGCCCCAAATGGCCATATCAGCCTGGGGAGGAACAAGGCTCTGGTGTAAGCCTCAGCTTACCATGGAAGTTGTAACAACTACGAATTTTGCTACAATTATCTTTAAAGGTTTTCTTTTGGGGAGTCTCAAAACCACTGCCACAAACTGTGCTGGATTTTATAAAAGTTTAAATGAGTGAAACTAATGAAATAGAAATCACTAGAAGTTGGATATTACTTTGTAAAAACGCTCATTTAAGACATTTCAATAAATAACTCAACCTAAAGCAGTACGCTTCTAGGCAACAGTCAATATAGTTAGAGGCAGAGCCACAGTTCAAAACCAAAAACTGCATAGAAACTCATGGCTCTTCTGTCAGGTGCTTACAGTCTAGACACACAACGTTTGTCACAGATTAAGTTAATCACATCTTTAATTAAAATTTCTTACCTTAACTTCTGCGGCCATTTTATCATTTGCAAATCCATCCACTGTTAGCTGAAGGAAAGAAATATTGACCGAGGATAAGCATTTAGCATTTCAAATATAACAGTTTAGCTTTGGTCATGTATGTGAATGGGACTTTTCTCACAGCTACACATACCTTTATTAGTCTGGATATTAAGAATCCACCTTGGTATCGATTATAAAGTTCCTCCCAATTGTCCCTTACAAATTTCCAAGCAGCTTTCCTGCCTTGCTTGCTGCCTCCAGCCACTCCACCAATAACAGATACCGTGTCCTGGGGACGTACCTCTTCCTGAAGATGAAAATGTAGACAAGTATTCAAGACTGTTTCCACAAATCCAGCATGTTGGCTTTACGCATTTCTGCGTTGAATTGGCTTTATGCATTTCTATGCCAAATCTGTCAATGATAGCTTCCCCCCCCACCCAACTTTAAGATACAACTCAAAGATTTAATCGTTAAGACTATTCCTCCTATTCTAGCGCAATATGTGCGCACAGTGCTCTATCACCAAGCGCTCTGAACGCACTTGTCATTCTCACGAGGCAAGGAATCAGCAGCTTTTCCAGTAACTTACTGAAAGTGCAAAGGTGAGAACTTTTTGAATCAGTTCTGGTTGAGAGATGGCTCCAAGAACTCGTTCAATTCGGTTCTTCTCCTCCTGCATGTCTGCTTGCTTATGAAGCTTCAAAGCCAAAGTGAATACTGTTAGCGCATGGTATTAAATGTCGACTTCTTACCTAGCACTACTGAACTTGCTGTATACGCTAGAGCTGCTAGATTAGTCTTCAAGCCTAATATGTGACAAATTGAACTTGTTCATGAATCATCCTGCAGCTCTCCACATTACGGACCTCATTACACATACATCAGCAGAAAGTACCATTAGTAATAAACTGATCTTCACCACCGTTTATATAAGGTCAAGCAGGACCGTGCCTCCAAGCAATGAAAAATAATCCTAAAATGAGAGATGCAACAATCCACTAGGTGGCAATTTCACACTACACACAGACCAAGGAACACCATAATGAAGCCCTTAGCGTTCACATCGTCTGTAAAACATCAGATTGAGCCTGTGTGCAGATAAACTACATCTTAGAGGAATTTGTAGGGTGGAATATTTAGCTTTTCATTGCATAAGCTGGCAATGTTAACAACAGAGTGTGCACTCACCTTCAGCATAGTGTCTAAAGTAGTACTATCTCCATGCTTCAAAATAGTTACATATACCTAAGATAGAGCATAAACAAGGAAGGTCCTTCAAAAACCACACTTTTGGAAATGCAACAATCAATTTCTACATATTTGGGTTAGATTTCAGACAAGTGAACAGATCTGGAAGATACCGGCACTGACCCCTTCTATGTTTTAAGACTGGATTTTAAAGACGCATCAACTCCTTTACCTCTTCCTCAATTTCAGCATAATTTTGGGAATTTCAACCACAGCAAAACACCAGAACAAGAAATCTTTGTACCACACAACACCTAGCCAGTAAGTACTTCACATACACTCAATCCGTATCCACCATAGTTAGACTCTGTGCCAAGCTGACACGTGCAGAGCTCTTCCACAATCCCTGCAGTTTACCACAGTGCTTTTAAACCTGGAGGATGTAGGCTGGTCACGGATGGATGTACATGAGTAGAAGTCAGCTCAGGTTCAGCGCTGCACTTGAATAGCCTTCAAAACCCAAAATGCAACACAATCTAGAGAGCAGAATTGTTCTGTGGCAGTCAATGTGGGTACAGCTGAGCTTGTTAGTTATGACCAAGTATTGGCCACGACAGATGAGGCTTACTTGATTCAGGACACACAGGGATGTTTGAATCATGCTCCCCAATATAATTTCCTTCATAACTGGACTTATCCAACCTCCCACCACCTCTGCCAAAACCAGTTGCTCTCAAACCTTGACACTGGTTTCCTCTAGCCTCCCTATTCTTGGAAATACAAGAGTTCAGTGCACACAGTGCTAAGTGAGTAAGGACAGTCTTTTGGGAACCAAAATTTACAATAACCTACAGGACTCCTCAGATCAGCTGACAGCATATGTTTTCCTTCCACATGGTCCTTAAATCGGCGTCGGGCTTCTTCTAATGTTGCCTTGTGACCAGCTTTTCCTAGTTTGCCCAAGACCAGACCTCTCAGAAGGGCATCTAGATGACCTAATGAGTGAGTAGGAGGAAAAAAAATAATTATTTGGAGACACAATTCAGCAATTAAATTAAGTGTTCTTCCACCTAGAGTGATCACGGCAGAGCTGTATAACAATCCTTCCACATGCTTGAGGATATCTAAAGAAACTAGGCCTTTTCTCACTATCCTTGGTGCCAACTGGAGAATACATTGATTTTTTTTTACAGCAAGAGAGTCAGAAGATGATTCCAGCCCAAACACAACAAGGTAGGCCTCTAACCTGAGCTAAGTAAGTAATATTAACCATTTGCATCTACAACAGGACTGACTAAGACAAGTAAACATGCATGTACATGGCTTTCCATTCACATAGTCTAACAAGTTTCACGCACTCCAATAGATGCAAAGCTACAGCATTTTTATCAGTCAGTGACCAGGTAGGGAAAAGTTTTACCATTTTAACTTGCGCCTGATAACAGAGGGTTGTTTTGGGGTTTTGTGTTTGTCTGTCTGTTTTTAAGTACAAAAATACCCCTGAATGCCTACTTCAGACTCCTCTTCCTCCCTTCTCTCCCCTTTCCCAAAATTTTGATGGCTTATTTACACATGAGTTTTCCAAAACCACTACTGGATTTCACAGCATAAGTTTCCTACCCTCTCCAGGTTTGGGGTCCCATCCCAGTCTCTCCCCTATTGGTGAAAAGACATCTTTCACGAACACCTGGATTTCCTCATAGAAGTCTGTGTGGGACAAGAGAGTTGAGAGGATCCCCAGGTTACAGCTGAGGTCGCTCCACACAGTATAATTGGGCTCATTCACAAAAGCTTCCATGACTTTTAGAACCTCTACAGTGCTAATGATTCCAGCTCGGGCCTGGGAGAGGAAAAGACACAGATTAATCTTACTTCCAAACAGAATTAAGATGTTTAATAGCTCATCACATTATTTTTACAGTTGTCCCAGTTAATTTTGCACAGCCTGCACATCAACTCTATTTTCTTTGTTGTGGTGTTCTGCCAAGGGGAGTTAACACTAGTCAAAGCACCTTAGCTGTCTGCTCACGGCACACAATGCTTTTTATACACAGGTAAGCACTTTACAAGGAGACAGCTATATAATTTTAAGCACATTTTGCAAACAAGAAACAGACAAGGAGATTAAGTGACTTAACTAAATTGCAGCAATGCTGGCAAGAAAAAACAAACTCCCAGAGTTATTCTCAGCCAGATACTACATCCACCAAAATCTTATTTTAACTAAAAACTATAAAGATTTAGAGATTTAATTTTTGCTCTTCATTAAATTGAGAGTGTAAAACTGCAGAAGTAATTTTTGCTTCCTGCTTCCCGTGAATTAATAGGAGAAGTAATGCCTTTCCACCTCTGCCAGGAAAATTTTATGTTAACTGCTTCACAGCGTCACGAACACTTCTATGCTTAGTGCAGTTGATAATACCTACAGTAGGTATCTCCAACCAGATTGCTCAGATTTTTGTTAATCTCAAACCAGACCATTTATGGTACCAGAAAAGAGGTGAAGATCAATTTTTATTACCTAAGCTATATTCACCTATGATAAAAACATGATTAAAACTGAAACCAAAATAGGAGTCTAACACAGTGTTCCTACGTGTATTATTTGCTCTTTTTTTTTGTCCCATTGGTCTTGCAATATTTGGAAAATGACTCAGGCTACAATTTCAAACCCCTTCAACTAAGCCATGACAAGAGTTACAAGCTTTGAAGCCGGAGAGGCAGGGTATCAAATCCACATTTTTAAAAGTTTCCATATACTTGCTGACTAGCAAGAATAATAAAGTGCAATCTGAAATACAGAGTACAGTAACTAATTGTTCAGAGCTAGCAACACCTGCTTTGGGGGTAATCCCTTGCTTTTAAACAGTAAGAATCCCCAACAGCCATGTCCTCCAGTGGAGGACAGTTTTAACAAGCCCAACTGAATAAAGCACATGGTGCTGATAGTATTTGATAAAGTCATTGAGGGGATCATTAAAATATCCTTATTTTGATGAGTTAAAAGAAAGCAAGTTCTCAAAACACTTCATTTTGTAAAAAAACCTATAGTATAATACACCCCTACAGAGAACAGTGCAACAGGAGTTATAGACAGACTGCTTCCATAGGGTTTAAGTCTTATAATACAAGTTAGAACTTGTCAAGCTAATTAATAGCTAGATGTATGCAGTAATCCCAAAGGCACTTTGCCTCCAGAAAGTGAGATTGACTCTTCAGACACCAATTTCTGCAGTTACTGTAGCTCTCATTATTAGACCGAATAGCAAAGGGTTGCTTACCAGAGAGAAAAGATCATTCTGCAGGCCAAGCCTGTCCACAGGGGGTAGGGAGAGGTCTTTGATCGCTGGTATTAAACTCTCCAGCATGTCAGGGCTATACTGAGTACGGTAAAACCCTACTGTTCCAAGGTTTAACTGAAATGTACCAAAAGAGTAAAAAATTAAAAGTAAGGAACAAATAAGGAAATGCTTTTTTATTTTTGAACCACTAGAAATTTCTCAAAGCATCACAGCTCAGAGAAGTCAGTCACTATCCTTTAAATAAAAAGAAAAAACAAATCCTAAGCAAGGGAGAAAGACTTAAGATTTCAAAGAAATGCTCACTAAGAGGTATAGAAGATGAGAGAGTGCTGACAAAGAAACAGAGGCTAGAGCTAAAACTAGGAGCAAGGAGAAAAGAGAAACTTCTCTTCTAGGGGTAACTCCTAACTGAAGTAAGGGTAGTCATGCACTGAGAAGATAAAATGCAGGAGACTGCAGGTGCTAGAATCTTAACTTTTGTAACCTCTCTCCCACAACCTGCTTTATTCAATTTTGATGGAGAGAATAATTTTCCTAAGAAAAGAGAGCAAGCACCTCTGCCCAGCGTAAAAGCAAGTCATGCTCAGTAAGCTTGATGAGCCACACTGGCTACACACTGCTACCGACTAGCATTTTAGTGCAGATGGTCAAATATTGTGCTTGGTTGAACAACAGTACCTGGCATAAACCAAAAACATTGCCGAGCTCATCAGGAAGTCACCCCCTTCGATGCTGCTATGATTTTGGTCAGTGCAATTGCCAGTCCTCAGGAGTATGGCACTAACTAAAAACTTCACAGACTGACAACCTTTGCAGCCAGCAGTCTCACAAATTCACCTTGGACTGAGCTGGATTGTTGCCTTCTCAGGCAGAAATGTCAAACTTTACCCTCATTTAGACAGGGCATTTTCAGAGTTGTTCATTCATTTCATGCCCCCCTCTGTTACCAGGGAGGGACCCAGATAGATATGGGGATTCAAGAGGCCCATGTTAGTTAAATAGGAAGATTGATTAATATTAAAAAAAGAGACTAACCCTTAATGTTATTTCACGGAGTCACCTCTCAGAGTACAGCTCCAGCTTAGAAACTCAGTAGTTCATACAGCAATAGTCCCAGCCAGTTGCTGTCTTTCAATTTTTAAATTCAGTTTGACTGGTGTCTGCAGGAGACCGCAACAATGAATTTTTTCACTTGCAGATTTGTACTTGTCTGGCAATAGCCAGTAGAAAACCTTCACACTAATGAAAGATAAACAAGACTATTTTTGCTCAGGATGGACTTTAACTAAACTGCGGTTGCCATGGGATACCAAAAAAGCCACCACATTTCAATTCAAAAGCTGCCTCTAATTGCACACTGTTTTTCCGGGCTTGGACTCCCAAAAGGTTCAAGTTTACATTGTCTAGACTACTCTTGGAAGGCAAAGGACTACACTAAGCAAGCATTATAGAGAGGAGCCAATATTCAACAGCAGCACAGAGAGGCCCCTCCATAAGAAATACAAGATTGCAAGGGGGCGGGGGAGGAAGAGAAGGAGGAAAATGAAATGCAAGGGAACATTACAGTGACGAGCAAATTTATTCCCAGTAATATGTTCTCTTTGTGACAACTCACCTTCACCCACTGGTCTGGTTTGATGTCTTTCAAAACCAAGGTGAGCTCTGGTTTGTCCATCAATATTTGCATTTTGGCACAGGTGGGGTCATCACTTGTACAAATACTTATGGGGACCATCCACATGGGGAAATCCTCCCCTAAAAGAAGAAACAATAAAAAGGAAGGCCTAAGGAAAAAAAAAGTATGCACACAATACAGAAACTCTGCCTGATGTTCAAACAAGTTTCAACAGCAGTTTAAGCAAGGCACAAATCTAAAGGAAAACGTCAGTTCTAGAGTTAAAAACCAAGAATCTCTAAATCACCTTTCAAGCCAAACATTTTAATTTCCATAAGCATGGAAGATGGGTGGAATCTGTGTCTTAAGATAGAGCTGGCTTCCATATAAGGCATTTTTATTTCAGCCCTACTATAAAACCATCAGCTTACAGAGCTCCTCAGATGGCAGCACTGGCCTTAAACTGGACATCAGAAGAGAAGCATTTCAGAATGAAAACTGAACCAAAGACTGCAGATGAATGCTGCTCTCCATGCAAGGAGGACATGGAAACCACATGTGTGAGGGCATTCAACCTTAGATTTTCTGAAGTTTTAACAAATACTTAAACACCTGCATCCAAGCAGAGCACCTGCCTGCTCTGCAGTGCAGCTGTTTCATCCCTCAAAATTGCTGCCATTGCATGAAAAGCAACAAACACTCGATTCCTGCTCTTAGCACTCATCTTACCAGTATATGGTCCACTGGCACAGAATTTCTTCTGGACTAACTTCAACACTTTGTCATCTTCTTGCTGAGGAAAAAAAAAGAAAAGAAAAAGAGAGAGAGAAAGGAATTCTCAGAACATCTAATGTCAGCTTCTGTATAACACAACACATTCATGTGCCCTCTGTTAAATGGAGTAACTTGTATTCTCCTCCAGAAAAAGGAGTTACCTCAAGAATCATTCCAATGCATTAATCACTGTTGAAACACACATGCCCTATTTCTCATTTGAATTTGTTGTCTGACTTCAGCTTCCAGTCAGTAATCCCCACTCACCCTGCAATCTTGTAGAATAAGCATAACTGAACCGGAGTGAGAAGCAAAACGTGTGGCAAGGGGAGCTAAGTCAGATATTCCCTCCCTCCCCCACACATTTCACACACAAAGAGCAAACGGGCTATGTCAGCAAACTCCAAGCACATGATCTAGAGCGCTTGTGGAATAACTCCGTATCGCTTTGCACTAGGTTCCTCAAGTGAGCTGCACTTCCCCTCCCTTCAGAACCACAGAACTGTCACTAAACAAAGCAACCCACTGCACTGCCTCCTGATCAAAGAGAATTTTTAAAATAATGGATACTACTAAATTTGATCCTAAAACACAGCTAAAGGCAGAATTTTTGATCTGAAGTGCTGAAAAATGCACAGTTATATTTACCTGTTCAGCTTCCACATAAATGAGCGGAAATCCCATTTGTTTGGTCCATGTATTCATCACAGCAGCAATAGGTTTACCACTAGATTTTTCCAGGCTTTCCCAGAGGTCCTCTGCAGAAGAAAAGTCTGACTAAGGACTCCCAGGGTCTTGACATGTCAGATGCTATTAAGGACACTATATGGGCACTGGAGGGTGGGAGGCTGTATTATTACTCCAGTTTGCCCTTCATATTTTGGGTTGTGTTTTTAATCGAATTGCAACAGATGATAGGCAAGAAAAAAGAAATAGTTTAAACCACTCATGGGGGAGAGAGGGGAGAAGAAAGCTTCTTTACTACTAAAAAAATGCAGTCAATACACACTGCAACAGAGTATAATAAAAATGAGCATTAAATATTCAAAATGGTATTTAGAAGAATCTTTTCCTTAAGTTTTTCATATATTATGTCAAAAGAGCTGACTGAATATGGACTGGTTTTGGCTGATAAAGCATGATGTTCCACTTCCACATTTATGCCTGATACACAAAAAAGGCTTAAGTAAAGAAAGTGCTGTGAGATATTAGACAAGACTTTGAACTGTTTAATCACACATGCGATCAATACTGCAAAAGGAAGCTTGCAAAAAGCTTACATGGCAAATCAACATACTCTATTTCTAAATTAGATTACTACGCAGATGTGGTTATCAACGGTAAATGCAGCCCTTTCAGATTACCTCAGCCGCATACTCCTGAGATACAGAACCCCTAGAGGATCCTGAATTCTGGCTATGCAGGGGACACATTGTATGAAACTGGAAACAAGCCAAATACTTCCTTGCATTTCAGCTATCTCAGGTGGAAAAAACAGCTGTTTAAGGATCCATCACTTTAGCACTAAAACTTTTGTCTCCAGAAATCACTTTTCTTAAGCATGTAATAACCACCAGTTACCTGTAGCGGCATTCTTCTGCTGGAACTTCGTTAAATATAAATTCATTCCTTTCCGAAAGTCCTGGGAACATACAATTGAATATGTAATGGCACCAGAATGGAGGTCCTTTCTATCCTCCCTCTGCGCTGCATTTATATTCAAGAATTGGCCAAGGAATCTTAGGATCGGTATGTACATCTGTAACTCCTTCCATATTTTCCCACTATCTTATTTCTCCTAGGTAAGTTCAAATAGATCCCAAATACAAATTGGAGAAAAGTTTTTAAAATATAGAATACACAGATTTAAATTCTTTTTAAAACAGTATTTTTAACTGTAAAAAGAGATTTGACAATCTACATTTGGCTTTTTAACAACAATCTTTTTACCTCATCACCAATGTAGTCATGTAGCATTCGGATTACAGATGCTCCCTTGCTGTAAGAAATAGCATCAAATATTTCATCTACTTCAGATGGATGGCCAACACTAACCTGTGGTAAACAGGATAATTAACAGTGAGAACAATTTTAACCGCCATAAAAGATTTTGATTTTGCTTGTTCTAGTGTTTAAGGACCTGACTTTTCTCACTGAAGAAAGCACATGCATATCCATCACTAAATTGTCTTCATGGAATCTCTGCACCCAGTCAATTAAACTTATTCACATATGGCTGGGTTAGGATTGGTTTAAACATACTTTAACTTGGGTTTTGGTATTTAATCAAATAGACTTGGGGATCTTGCTTCAATCTTTTGGTTCAACACTTACCCAAAAGCAAAAAAACAGTGGAAGTTGTTTAATTCTGGGACAGTGAACAATACATACTCAAGAAATGCACCCAATGAGTAAGTCACTCTAAAATGACCTGTTGTACAAACCAAGGTCATCTCCCAACATCTATTACATCAAACATTTCTTAAGCTATCTGAAAACTTGTCCACAGTGATCTCTAGGAATTACAAGGGAGTTTTCTTTAGCTCAGCTCCCAGTTTTGCTGTAATTGAGCTCGCTGCTGCCTTCTCTTCTTACTGAACTACTGCCTTGTTTCCAAAGCAGCAAGCCCAGCTAGATCCTACTTATTTCAAGACTGTCTGCATCACACTCACAGTTCTGGGAGTACAACGCAGAAACACCTAAGGTGGCCTCAGACGGAAACCAGTATAAGCCCAGCAAAGTTTGGTAGCTTGGGCTCTGGGCTATGCTGCACTTTGGTTTATGTTGTCGAGCACTGGAGTAAGTCAGTAGCTACTTCACTGTGCTCAAGGGCCAGAAAACTACCCACTTTCATCAGAAACCAAAACAAAACACAAATAATGATGAGTTTTGATCACAACTTTGCCATTTCAAGTCAGTAGAGCAGCAAAACTCCAGAAGAAGCCATCTTCAGACTCTCAAACCTCACTTCTGAAATACTAATTCAAGTAAAGGAAAATCCACAAAGTGTAAATGCAACCTTAGATTTTCCTTTGTGTCGTGAATGAATGCAAAGTTCCCTTTTTTCTAAATAGGAAAAAAAGCTTACACCCAGCTGACAAGGAAAAAAAGGGGGACAATCAATAGCAATAACAGAACTTACTTCAATAGGATGACTGTTGTCTAAGGCATCAAGCTCTTGAGCTCGTGTGTAATCAGCAGAAACAAACTGAGTCCAGATATCGTACTCTGGGAAACAGTGATCTACACATAGGTATTCAATCCAGGAAGCAAATCCTTCATTCAGCCAGAGATGGGTCCACCATTCCTGGAAAGATAAGAAAGTAGAATAAAGAACAAAATTCCAAGACCTTCATTTAATCAACAAGGAGTTTCCAGCAAAGATAAGCTGTTAGTGGCCTAGTTTAGTACCAATCAGAGAAACAGGTAACACTTGCAAGCACAAATTCCTCTCTATAAAGAAGTCATCAGCCCAAGAAGAGTAATCAGCACCCAGTAACTGTCCACCCCTCTGTCTTAAGTTTCAGAAACTCTGCATGGAGGAGAACAGCATCAGGTACAAATGAAATTGCCGGAGACTAGACTAGAGGTCAGAGCAGAACCACTGAGGGAACAGCTAAGAATGTTAGCTAGACTAGGGAAAAGAGTCAGTGACATGCAAGGCCACAGTTCAGTAAAACAGAAGAATTGTGGGCAACACAACAACAGTGTCTTTTCCAAACTGAATAGCAGCAGCTGCAGAAGACTGATTTTGTTTGGGTTTGTTTGGTTTTTTTGCTAAGGAGTATGCTTACATAAAGGAGAAAACCTGGAATCTGAAAAAGTGTTCTAGACTATGGAAATCTGAAATCTAGTAAACCGTTAAAAGTTGTTTCTCACCAGCCAAAGGTGGGCTTTGTTTTTTTAAGATAAGAATGTTACATTGACATTTTAAAATTCTTCCCTTCATTTCTAATATTTAACTGAAGTAGGCGAGATAAGGAAACAAGCTACGGATACAGAGGAAGAAAACACCCTCTTCCATAACTGCTCTTACCAACCATTCTTTAAATGTAAATGGGGTGGCTAACTCAGAAGCAGCATGGCTATGATGATATGGGCCCTTAAGTAAAAGAAACTGAACAGGATGTAGAATCAGTCCAGTAAGCTGTTCTACAAAGAACTACTGCTTCTACTATGAATGAAACATTTACCCCAGGGAGGGTGGAATTTCAATAAGGAAAGCTGTTACTGAAACTCTGTGCAGATAAGCCCCACTTTATTTTTAGAGTGGAGACTATCCAATTTTCTTTTACATTTCTGGTCGCATCTGTTTCCAAGACAAGGTTCCGATACACACAGATTGGTGCCAAAGGATTAATGCAACTGCAAAATAGATTCTTGGGCAATTAGGTTAGACTTCTAAATCTTTTCACCTCCCTGTTTTTCTCTCTTATCCCACTGGCAACCTAATTGCTCACGAATCTATTTCTTCCCCTGCAAGTATTCTGATTTCATTTATCTTTGCTACAGAAGAACTGGTATATTGTGCTGGCCAATAAGATCTGGTACTGGCAAACTAAACCAGTGATGCTGCTGAGGCTTTCTGCTGTGCTGTACGCACCTCAGATTCCAGAGGAGAAAAAGCTGACTTTCTGGAAATTGAGAAGTAACATTGGAATGTCTTTTCATATTTCACAGCTGCATCATAGAACATAAAATGATGAGAGAAAAAATTCTTAAAGAAAATTTTTGGAAGACCTAGAACTTCAAAAGGAAAATAAAAAGCTAATTCAATCAAAATTCTAGAGATTCTTGTTAATGGTACTTTCTCAAGCTTACTGTCACAGTTCTCAATGGTCAGAAGGACCACGAATGGTTTGTGGGTCACTAACGGTCTCCAAGGCACTTGCTGGCATCCTACAGTGTTGTCTAGTCACATCATGCTGGCTCGCCTTGCTTCCAGCTGCTCCAACTGTACTAAAAGCTAAAAATGTATTACTTTAATATTGCTTTTCCATGTAAATATTGTGTTGCTCTCACATGGAAGCTACCTGTGCTACCACAAATAGGAATGGATGCAGTTGGCTAGATTTTAAGAGGCACGGCACTGTAGAAAAATTTGACTAACTTTGCTTAGTGTTATAATTAATATTTACACTGGGTTTTTCCCTCTGTCCACTCACACTTCATTTAAGCAGCCTAAAATCCAGAACAATGCAGATTTGGGGATCCAGAAGCCATGCTTTTTTACCAAACACACTGGTTTCTTACAATACAAGAAACTTCCTAACCTGTGAAATATTTGGATTCAAGCATCTGTTTGCAGGGTTTTGGGAAAAGGAATGTCAGATCTAATTAACAGAGTAAGCTGAAGCCATTTGTTAATAGCAGAAGCTCTGACAGATACAGGTTCCAGTTTTTAGCGCTAAATGGAATTTATTTACAGATTTCAGTCTTGCTGCCTCAGATACACTTTTATTCCCACCAAAATGACTTAAACATCAAACCATTCAGGTACTGATATGCCTGCTTGGTATGAAAGCCTGATGAGTGAATCATGCCTACCTGAAACGAAAACAGTGGATTACTGCTTCTAAATAATCTGACTAGCCAAAATAATTTCCATGGAACACCTGCTCAACTCTAGCTAGGACTATATTCAAACAACTGAACATTACTTCACATAGAAAAGATCTAGGAATACTTCTAAAGAACACACTAGTAAAGAAGAAAGTAGTAATAAAGCACTGTTTAAATATTTAATCTTTTTATTTTAAAGATAGCAAGCCTGCTATTAAGGGGCACTTGAACACACACATGATATGAAGCACATGTCAAAGAAAACTAGAACAACTTGTAACTGTTAGATACCATGGTCACAAGGTTTCCAAACCACTGATGAGCAAGTTCATGTCCTACAACCAGAGCAACCCACTGGCGAGATGAAGAACAGGAATTTTTGGGGTCAATGAGTAATGCAGTCTCCCTGTATTTAAGAGAGAAAGATAACTGAAGAGAGTGGTACATGCCTAGGGAAAAAACACAATCAAAAGTAGGTTAAATTACCTAAGCAAGCTAAAAAGTGATCAGTACAATTGGAAAAAACCAAAAGCTATTTCAGTGTAGACATTAAATTATTTTGGTAAGTTCCACAGCTGTTGGAATGCTTTGGAGCAATAATTCCTCATGGCATGCAAGAAGACAAGTGCAAAAACCCAGGCAGGAACAAGAAAGTTTATCCTTTATTTACAAAATAGCTCACCTACATAATCTAGGAACCTTAACCATAACTGCCTTTGCACTGCATGATGTATGCACAGCAAGTCTTCTCTGCCTCCCTCATCCCCAGAGGAATTCCAACTCTTCCAAGTGCACAACCAGTCGTGTTACACTCGCCACTGCAGATGCACAAGATTCTCCACACAGGGCACACGTGCACACACGCATACATACGCAAGTGCTCCCTAGGTCAGGCACACAACCTTCTGCTACAAACACCCCGTCACGATCAGGACTTAGTGGGTCAGTCAGAAAGGACTTCTGGACTGCTGCAACTCAAAGGGGAAAAACATGCATCTCAAAACATAGATGGTGCCTGCAGACTATGCCAACCTTCTGTCCCCAAAGGGATAAAGCAAGCGTGCCAAACTGAGCATAAAGGGGGGGAAAAATTAACAGCACAATTAAGAAAGGCTTCCAAAAATTCTGCTCATCCAGGACAAATATTTTTTTTCCACAGGGAGTAAAATATCAGATTTCATCAGAATTGCAATAAGCAGACAAGTAGATTTTAAACCTGGGCTCAAATTTCCATTTAAATTTTTTAAGGCCAAATTAAAAGTTTAGCAGAAGAAATTCAAACTATTTCAGGATTTAAAGTCCAAAGCTTACAAGACCAGTGTTGTACAAAATGAAGGAAAATTATTCTAACAATGAGCACAGATAATGTAATAATATCAAGCAAAAGTACAAAAGCTTGATCAGATGAACAAAAAAAAAAAACTGAAAAGAAAGGCAAGTTAATATTTTTGATATACTCATATCCACATGGTTATACTGTGGTTGTTAAATTTACCAACTTGCCTATAACATAAAATAAGAAACTCTTCCAGCTGTGTCAGTAAGTACGTAACTTTTACGGGGAAAAAAAGCGGCCAAGAAAGTTCTCTTGTAGAACAGGCAGTGCTGCCAGACACTTAAAAATCTCACACCCTTGGACAGTAGTTGTAATAGCTCATTCTTGCCTTCCTAAGATTTGTACAATAATGCACGCTGCTGCAGAAGTTAAAATTATCCAAACCGAAGCAAGAGTTGAAGGTATTTACTCAGTCTTATTTGGGATGATACCCAATAATTACAGCTCCCTAAAACTAATCCAATTACTTCCAAGAATTAGTGAACAAAGAGGGGGAAAGACAGTATTTTAACAGCATACCTATAAGTAACAAGGCCCCAGTTCTCCATGGCACCTTTATAAAATAAATACAAAGGTTTATTGATATTGATACACACCTCTTCCTAAATGTTTAAAATTCAAATAAAATACAGTTCATCAATAAAGTGAGTTACTTTACCAGCAGCAAAGTCTGCAATAGCTATGAGATCAATTTTAGGAAGAGGGTAAGGAACATTGAAGTAGTCCTTATAAAAAGGCAGAGTTTTAGCAGCAACCTGCAAGAAACAAGAGGAGAAATGTTAACTTGGAACAATTAGTAAAACTTGAAAATTTATAACTGAGACTAGCCTAAGAAAGCAGTGTGCACAAGATTTCTCCCAGAAGCCCCATTTCCAGCTTCCAGAGCACAACGGTTTGGAAGACTCGCATCCCCTTTTTCTCCCAGGCTGTAGCCTACCCTTCAGTACTTCTCATCATCTTTGGACCAAAGTCTGCATCACCAAATCAGAACTGAATTAAGCTGTATGTTTTCGTCATTATAGACATTAGTTTGTCCACAACTGAAATGCTGTTTAATATCAAGCCCAGTCGCTTTGAGCCATTAAAGCAAAAAACACCCTCATGAGCTTTGCATGGATTTAGGTGACTGAACAGAGGAGAGTGCTATGTCCAGCCTGTCGCAGATTGCCACAGCAATAATTAAGTCACCCTGAGCGCATTTACCTCTAACGCAAACTTTCCTTGTTCCGCTTTGCCAACAGGAGTGTAAACACGCACTAAGACGCCATCAAGGGACCTGGCCTCTACGAAGTCATATTCTCCCACCACAAACGCTACAAGATACGTTGACATTATAGGGGTGCGAGCAAACTTCACTTCCACCAGATTTTCATCATCTGGGTACGGCTTCCGGTCAATGACATTCTTTCAACATGAAAGGGAATCAGTTAATTTCATGGAAGTGAAACTGTATTACACAATACATTTGACTAACTATTCCATCATTATGAGTCACGCATTTAAAATGAAAGGACTTCTTTTACGATTTTAAAATATAGACCACAATGTAGTTCCTCTCCTAACTCGAAAATGCCCCATCACATATGGAGGTGTACTTTTATAATATATACGTTATACTCCATTACTGCAAAGGCAGCTGAACACATCAGCTATCAGCTGCTGTCCTTCAAAGGGAATATTACCCACATCCCAATAAGGCACCAGGCTTTCACTTTAAATTCTGAAACAGAAACCATAACCATGTGGTCAGTGGGCAAGGCTAGACTTTACAGGTAACTATGAAAGTTAGCTACTGGAATAGAACAGTTTATTTTTAAAGTGACTTGCTCTTCTCCAGCAACATCTTCTAGAAATATTTGCACCATATTTAGAGTAACAACCTGAAAATACGCACTTGTATTTGTGACAGAGGTACTTCTACTTGCACATTGTACCCCAGTTCTGGTCAAAAATTCTCTAGGGCAGAAAACATGCTTATTTATCTCAAGTGCTACGTCTGCTTATGTAGCTACAACAGCTATATAAACACGCAAAGGCACTTTTTTTCCCCCAGTCACTCTTAATCAAGCAGCACGTGGCATGACATATGCTAAGACTTTTTTTTTTTTTTTTAAAAACAAACACCACTGTGGTTTGTACAACCTGTTTAGGTTTTGTGCTAGCATCTGACACTGCAATATAATCTCTTAAAAAGCTCTCTCAATTTAGAGCTGCTTAGTAATAGCTAACAAGACAGCCTACATTCCTAATTCTGTCTGTTACCAGGACACACTATTAACTATCAAATAATCAGCTGGCATTATTACAGTTTTATTTAAAACACTTTACTTGCCCATCAAGAACTTACCATATTTGACAAAGCTACTCTGTCTTTAGGAACCACTAAAGAAATATCAAATGTTGCCTTAATAGCAGGCTCATCCCAGCAAGGGAAAGCTCTGCGAGCATCAGTAGCCTGAAGGAAATAAGAGCATTAAACACATAAATCGCAAGAGATCATGGCAATAAAACACACACAAAAATTCAGCATATTTTACAGGCAAGAAGTTAGGTGAATGATGGCTAGTCATTGGTATAGAGTCTCCTCACTGACACTCTTGACCTCTGCATTACAGCATTTTATTCTTAATTATTTCACTCTTGGTTTAAAAAAAAAAAGTGCCGCTGAAAAGCACTCTGTGCTCTGGTGGAATTCTACAGTCTGAGCAAAATTTAGCAGAGTCATGACAGGAGCAAAGCTCAGTCATGTGAAAGCAGAGAGGGCAACCAGGCGTTCACAGACCGTATACATAAGACCACCTATTTATATTCTGTCAGTAGACTGCACCCAAGAAATGTTCTATTTGTACGAGGTAAGCACTCCATGTTTTTATGTAACCAGGCAGATAACTATGAAATTACAATATGGTATAAAATTCTGTCATTCTGTCCAGGGTTTACATAATACTTGAGACAGTATCTGGCTCACATTTTGGATGTCATTAAGACACTGAGATAAAGGCAGAGTGTTCTATTAAAAAAATTAATATACTTCATAAAGGAAAGTTATACAGAGGTATTTGACCACATGTAAATAAATAGCTGTTCTTAAACATTGCAGCAATTGTATATATACGATGCATCAGACAACAGCATGATCCTTGGCTGGGGAATTTGCCAGATCCAGAATTTACTGACCTTGAAGTTGCAAAGTAAAGGCTGCTTTTAGTATTACCTATCCACACTAAGAGCAAGAAGCAAATAAATATGGATTTTTGAAATTTACCCAGAGGGTATAGCTAAAGCTAGGAAATCACATTTTTGCTTCTTCTAAGCATAAATCCTATATTAAGAATGACATTCCCTGAAAACAAAAATATAGCCCATACCTCAAACTGAGTGACAGCAGCATAGCGTGTGTCTCCAGTAGGGGTGGTATATTTACTTCGGTAAAAACCTTTCATTTTATCATTCAGCTCCCCTACGAAGTCTATCTTTAGCGTTCCTGTCCCTGTAACAGAAACAGATGGGGCATTGTTATTTGCATGTGCCAAACAGAACATTTATTTGGTCTGGACCTTCAGGCCAGGCTATTCAGCTGGCCCACTGCCCTTCTGAAATAAGATGACCCTGCAACTCATCTCCACCCATCACTTTTTTGCCAGCCTCCCTCAAACCCTTCACTCTCCTTACATAAAATAAGCTCCAGCAGAGCAATGCAGGCAAAGCCAGACTCACCACAGCATTTTAGCACTTGATCGGCAAAGGCTGCTGCAGTATTCATTCTCATCTTCTAAACACAATGGCGATAACCAGGAGAGACCCACCCTAAGCCATCTGAGAAGTCTGATCCTACAGTCCTTACCTTTGAGTAAAGTTTGCAAAATATAGGGTGGCTACTCAGTAATAGCATCCTACGAAATCTACTACCAAAGCCAAGATGGAGCACTGGCTGCATTCAAGCTTGTAAGTCAATTAGTCTCAGGATTTATTCTGCCCTTGATGTCTCAGTGCAAAAGGGGAAACCTGATCTTGATCAGAGAGGCAGCATGCCAATATCCCACAGAATGAAACACTAAATCACCTAGAATCTTTATATTTGTATTTGTCAAGATGAAATAAAACTGCTTTATTCAAACTGAGGAGCTGAGTTTCCATTGACAAAGTCCTCAGAGCAAAAAACTGTAGCAGGTTCAAAAGAATTAGTACATTCACACCTAGGAAAATACTGCAGTAATTCAGATGAACTCATTCTCGGTAAGAGGAAAACAGATAAATGGCTTCTGAGCCTAACTCCCAACAGCAGGTAAATAATTAGAGTCACCTCAGGTGTTAGAAGCAAACCATTAGTGAAACAACATTTTCAATTCCAGAGGCTCACAAAGTGACATAGTGGACAGACTCCCCAGGGAGCACTACACTCGCAGTCAGAAACTTCAGGGAAGACAGAGCTGTCCCACTCCAGCTTTTTCAAGTGCAAACGTCTTAAACATACAGTTGAAGCAAGCAGAAAGCATGAAAATAGCTCTTACCTTTCTGAAGAGTACTGGGAAAGGAGAGAGTAACCTTTTCATCCTCATTTTGATAGTTGAACCCTGTGGCGTGTACCTCTGAAACAGAAAAACAGACTACTTTGTTCAAAATAAGCCCCAGAGATGTTTTTCTAACTCATGAACATTTAAAATTAACTGAATCAGCTGAATCCAACAGCATGCTGTAGTTACTGAACAAATCAATGAAGATTTTGAATAATCCAGAATTATATAAATGCAAGCAACCAAAGAAACATCACCCATTATCGGAGTTCCATGTTATATTATCTCGCTTCAGACAAATAAATCTACCGTATTTATATCAGACTATACAGCCACAGACTCAAAGCACCACCTCTGTGCTCCTTCCACCTCTGCCATACACCCCGTCCATCAGAATGCACTCATACATGGCAGGGAAGTCTTCTGCTGTGCCCAGTAATGAAAGCTGTACTGTCAAATTGTAAACTTGGAGTAAGAACAGTATCCTGTACAACACCAGGAATGCTGGTAACAACTACTGCAATCCTGACAAATGGTAAAATATTGCACAAAACTTCCCCTCAATATTAAATGCTTACATCAGTGTAGCAGGATTCTTACTAATTATTCCAAACAGGATGCTTATGATTTATTTAACTAATTTGTGGATCTCACTTTGAAAAGCACACTAATATCCACAGCAAGGTGTTTTTGTTTGGTTTCAACCACAAAGAAAAACACAATGTTGATTTTATTTAAAAATTGCCTTCAGAGCCAGGGACCTACCTTGGAGTTTATATACCATTCAGCAAGAGCATCCAAAATCAACCAGAATATTAAGCAGTATAGCGTTTACACAGCATTGGATCTATCTGTAGATGCAAACATCCAAACTATAAGGCCAAGCTGGATAGATAGGGGGAGGGAATCGGTACACAGGAATTAAACTGTCCTGCAGCTTAGAGTTAGCAGAGCCCAGAGAGAACACCTGGTGTTGCTTCTTCCTTCCTAATTCATCAAGTCCCACTCACTGCATCCAAGGTGATGTACACCTATGCTCCTTCAACCAAAAATCTAAGATAGCTATGTAGGACCTCACTTTGCAAGTTCTGCTACCTATGTCACTCTATACTTAACAACTGCAATAACTAGCTATCTTTAAGGAATGCAAATCTGCACCAAAACAAATGAGCAATGCTTTCTACCACACATCAGCATCTTGAACTACCAAACTTGGTAAGCCTGGACACAGTAATACATCTTTCTATGCAGACATACTGATGTATAATTCTAGATTTATAAATACAATAAACATGCGGCAGTTCAGTATAGTTTTGAAAGATACGGGAAATGCACAGACCAGTTTAAAGTAACAGCATTCCTAGTACAAGCTGCCTGTCCCATCCCACTTACATCACTCAAATCGAAGTGAAAACACACCTAGGATATTGAAATGCTAGCAAGGGTCTAGCAACCTTTTCGGGTACTTTCAAAATTGAAGAAAGATTCAGTAAATAGCTTCAGTTATCTACTGAAATAGATAATAGTTTTGAATGGTGACAGAAAAAAGGACAAAAAAGAATACTGGAAAGTGCTGATACATAGAGGCAAACATCCTAAAAGAAAAAAGTACCACTATATAAATTTTTTCATTACCTGGAATTCTGAATGACAAAGCTTGTTTGAAACAACAATTTAATTTACAGAACGACCTGTCTTCCATGCTCAAGTATCACTACAAGAATCCAGGTATTGGGTTTCAGAGGCAGCCTAAGCACACTCACAAGATGTTCAGCTAAGTTGTTCCATATGTGACAAAAGTAACTGGAAACATGTTTTTATTTTTATAAAATTTAAAGTGCTATTTATTCTGGAATAGTATGATTTCAGCCTTAAGTTAGAGTTAATATCAATCTCTGCTCACAGAGAACATAAATGCAAAAATTGCACAAATATATTAGTCTTAACTACTGGTTTCACAGTGCTCTGCTCAGCGTTTAATCAGAGTTAACCACCATGCTAGGGTACATAATACATAAATGCTTAAAATAAAAGAATTCTAGCTGTAAAAAAAAAATACAGTACAGAAACAAATTCAAGGAAAAAAAGTTCTTTACAGGATCAAGTAGAAGAACTGTACTGAGGAGTTCCAAGATTTTTAAAATCAACTGTAAGAGGGATGAGATAGACCATTTAAACAGAATACATGCCAAGGACATCACAATGCCAGCAAGCGTTGGGCAATGAGCAATGAAAAGTAAAGGTTTAGCCTTTCTTCTTATAACTGCGGAATACTGAGGCAGAAAAGGAGACATTATAAGAGAGTTGGAGAGAAGGTATTCAGGGGAACAACTAACGCACAACACACTAGTCTGGAAGTGGGCTTCCAAGGAACAGAGAGTGGAGCTGAGTGCTGACTACATCGTTTAGATCCAATGAATTTTGACCCCGGCTATCTTTAGAGTCCAACAGACAACAAACCTGTTGTTCTGCGATAGCATGTTAGTGACCTCGGTCAGAGGGAAGGACGGGCTGAATACCTGTCAGAAATTTATGTTAGCCTGCCCGGGAGGAATCCCGCTGCTGGACAACCTGCAGATGCTGAGCTGTCAGCCTGTGGTCAGAGGCTAAATGAAAACCTGAGAAACCTCTGATAAAGATCAGTACAAGAATGCAGAAACACTCCCCCCCACGTATTTTAAAATGACCACAGCAAACCAAAAACATTTGTATCTTTTTACAACTTCTAATGGAAACAATCTGATACCAAAGACAAACAATACCATGACTTCAGGATCACAGTTTTAACCTACTGAAACTGAGAAATACAGAAGAATGCGTGTTATGCAGATCTTCTGCCAAAAGTTGACAATGAATATTAAATTTCCCCCTCCTCCTCTCCCAAATGTGAAGTCCTTCTAAGTGTATTTGAATTTGTAGCTCCACTACTTTATAACCTTTTTAGCCTGTACTAGGAAAGCCATAGGAAAGTGGTTTTTTCCCCCTGCAACAGCCTGGGAAAGCACATTAACACATTGCAGAAAGCAACCTTGTTTCAAACAGCTTCTCAACCTTAACTTTACAGTGTTAGCTCCCAATTACCCTAAGGTTAGAAACAATGTTTAAACACGTTATAGTTTAAAAGGGCTGGAAGCAGCCATCTCACCAGCGGAGCTGTGCACTCCCAGCACATGCTGATCGCAATCTCCAGCAAAGGAGGCCGAGGGCCGTGCGACAGCCCGGGACCGCCCCGCTTGCCGCGACAACCAGCCTCCGACGAGCACTGGAAAGCAACGGCGAGAGCACATCTCCAACGAAAGGTAACGCTCATTTCACAAAGCGTGTCCTCATTGAAGAGTTGGTGTCTGGGAGAGTGTCTTTCCACACTCAGCTCCAGCAATTTTTCTAATTCTCAAAGCGGCTGCTTATATATCAATTTCCGAAACAGCAGAATATAAATGAAAGATTCAAAGTTACTTTTTTTTTTTTTTAAACTATTCAGTGCCAATAATTTAATCCAGAGCAAAAGAACCATGGAAAACCATCAACAATACTTTTTGTTAGAGTTTAAGAGAAATGCTTATAACAAAGATATAATTGCAGTAAAAGGCTGTCTGAATTCCTAACAGTGTTGAATACAAAAGCTCCTGAAGAGAACAACACAATTTTGGCAGCCTACTAACTTTGGAGAGTTTGGCACTGCAAGGTTGCAAGTTAATCACTAGCACATTAGTACACAGTCTGGACCAAGTCGCATGAGAAAATAAAAAGCTGCCAGTGCTCCATGTCTTTGGAAAAAATGCATAAAAATCAGATCTAGCAATCCTCCCAAACTCAGAGCGCTACATATCAAATTTTACAATAGCGTTTTAAATAAATTACAGTCCTTCTACAGAGTACTTCCTGAAATTGCACAGTAACCAGATGGATACATCAATTAATGATCCCAATTTCTGTATTACATGCTTATAAACATGGATCCTAGCCAAAGGTTTTATGCAATGTCAAATGTGCATGTATTTCAAAGTGGAGGCTAAGCCAAGTGCAAGAGATGGAATTTTTTCAAGTAGCCCTCATTCCATGGCATGGAAAAGTCACAGACAATTAAGGTATGTGGCTTAATGAACTTGCATTCATCAACTGAGCTGCCGTGACTGTGTACACTCTGCCTACTCTATCTGCAAATTAAACACGTTGGCTTAAAACATCTACATGTTGACATAGCATACACTGTCCTCCTACAGCATTAGCCACTGAACTATGCCGATGCAATTTCAGAGAATGCTAATGCTTTCAAGCCCTTTCACATCTTTTCACGTGTTTCAAACCAGTGGTTGTAAATCCTTTAAAGGAGTCAGAAGTATTCTCATGTATCAGATATTCCCAAACTGTCCATGCCAACGCAGCCCAGGCCTCCTTAAAAAACCTACCATTAAAAATTCTGTCACATCAAGTCCTCTCCAGAAGAAAGGATGAAGATGAGCTTTTCTACAACAAAGAAAGGTTTCATAACTGGCTTAAACAAATCTAGTCTGCTACGGGCAGAGACAGTAGTCTCATTTTTCCCACCTGGCCCCAGCTGTGTGTTCTCATTCCCTTCCTTCCACTGGCATTCACATACAATCATCAGGATCAGGAAGATGATCTGTCTCCAAGCTGCCTTTTTTTTCCCCTCCTTGTAGAGGCAGTTTTCAGCCAGTGCAGTTTCCTGATCCACATGGCTGCTCAACAGTACAAACCTGAATGCCAGCAGAAGGAAGGGAGTGAGGACAAGCATCATTGCCGCTTTCCACAGCAGCATGATTTCAAACTGCCTTAGGATCATCGTGGAACAATATGCTCCCAGGCCAAGGGAAAGCACTGCTTAGATACACTTGGGTCACATTGCTTAGCCTTCCATAAGCGCTAGTGATCTTCTGTTGCTGTTTTTAAACATCAGCTGAGGATCTCTAACCAGCATCTAGCACTAGCATCCAAGCACATCCCTACCATACTAGGAAGGAAAAGACTAAAATAATGATTTCTGGCCTTAAAACCTTTTAAAGGTTGAAGTACAAATCAATTATTTCTGCTAAACAAACATCACTATGGTTGCTTGCAATTTTCTATGCGAAATTGCCAACTACTATCCTCCAAGCACCTCTAAATTTAAGAAGCTGCTTTAGGTCCCCCAGTATCTCAAAAGCGTTCCAAGCTAAAGACAATATAATTCACTGATTATGACTCCATCACAATTTCACAGCTCCTTAAAAGAGAGATTCACATGAAGCTCAAACTACTTAGCATTCAGTAAGTATGAAACTCAATCCCCTAAAATTTAACTTACGAACCAACTTGCTTAGGTATGCCTTTTCAGTTCTTCATTTAGCTGAGCAAAGTCAACCATTTGGACAAGTAGTACAGCACGCTAAGACTGCACTATAAACATTTGACTACAAATGCTAAAAACTAGCTTGTGGAAAAAACAAAAACAAGCTCCTCGTTAGTGGGAGGAGCCAGTCATAACTTCAGCAATGGAAAACTCAAGTCTTTTGAGCAGCTTTGTTCCATTACAGCATACCTGGCACAAACACCAAATCCACAACCTCCAGTTACAATCACTACACCAGTTTTATGATGAAACAGAGAATTTTTCTACTCCAAAGTATTGCGTAATCAATCTCTCCTGGTTTATTACTCACTATCACTCAATTGTGAATTGAGCAAAATTTTTTACTTTGACTTTAAAGCTTCAGAGATCCACCCTCAGCTTCCTGTCAGATATTGGGCAATAATCTGATTTCCCTGCAAATCTGCATTAAAATTCCAAACACCAAGTTCTACCCTCTGCTGTATCCATCTTTAGAAGAGTGAATAGGAGGGGAGGGAAAACACAGCCCACGGTTCCAGCTAAGATTTCTGTTGTTGTATGAGCCACAGCGCAGTAGGCACTCAAGACTAACAAGAATTACTATGAAAAGAATAAACTATTCTGCACAAAAGTCAACAGATCACCTCCATAAACAAGGGAAAGGTATCTGTTGAACAAGAAGGTCTCTCTTTCACACAGCTGCTTTTCGGAACAGAACCACGCTTGAAAGAAGATAAGTGACTGATTATCTTTTGTCTCACATTTACAGACAAGCGTGAGACAAATTCTTCCCCACTGAGGTACAGAACTAAAAGAGGTAACGATTCTTCCCTAGAGCCTTTAAAGGAGAAAACATCAATAACTTCTCACTCGTTTTCAAACATACTTCATAGGCATTTGGTACGAGGCTCACCTAAGTAACTAAATCCAAATGATCTGGCTGATATTTCTGTTGGTTCATTGGACTATATTTCGTTCTCTGTTTTTGAGACCAGTTATACAATTACAATCCAAAAGCTGTGCACAATAGAAGCATTAGTAAGACTGACTTGATCTGTATCAACAGGTGCCAGCAAATAGTCTGCCAATTTCATGCAATTTTACTTCCAAAGCCATTATACCAGTTGGCAGTTTACCAAACTGAAAGATATGTTTTAACCCCAGGAAGCCTGAGTATAATTATAGTAAACAGGCAACAAAGCTGCACCTCAAAAATTTATGATACAAGTTTGAGAGGCGAGTGCCTACACTATAGCCAGAGTGCTGTACTCATATTCCTGTGTGTCCAGAGCACCACATTCAAGGCTATCTGAAAAATCAGAATGAAGGAATTTAAGCCACAGAAACTCACTTCCAGTGTACTTGGTTTTAAGTCTCCATGAAGCTCTACTATGAATACTTCAAAGCTACAAGGAGAGTCTATCACTGTTAAAGAACAGAAAAATAGACCCCTATGAGAGGGAAATCAGCTGAAAACAACAAAGAGAATACATTAAAATAGAGATCCTCTCTATTTTATGTGTTTTTCCTGATTTGATTGGAAAGAGACTTTATTCCTAGGTACCTTTTCCGTTTATTTTCATTTTCTCAATGACAAAATAAAAAATTAATAGGTGGTTTGGGCCTATGGCACAGTGGTAGGCGGAACAGACTCTATACACACTCTGCTATTACTACCACTCTCGTTATCGCCTCATTACTCAGCATAAGAAATAGCTCCAGGAGTGCTTAGCAACACAGTGCATCCAATCAACTAAAGATCACCAACGGCAGCGTACAAAAGGCACGCAGGAATGGAGCGCCAGGGTACAACCCAGGAGCCCAAATCAAGCACGTAGGAAACAGCGTTCTATTCTTTCACTATCGAAACGCGGTGGCCAGACTCCAACCTCTTTGGTAATACTCTTCTCTGCCACCCGCTCTCACTGCGACCGCACTTCCTGCACTGAGCTCTACTTTTCCACAACACACCCACCGAACGCTACTTCCTTAGGACAGAGTTCCCCATCCACCTAAGCACCGCTCGGCTGCTCACAACTGCACTTAAGAAGCCCTCTGATTTCTTTATTATATTAAAAACAAAAAGTCAAACCAATTTAAATGCAAAGACTCACTGCAGACATTCCACTTGCCACATACAAATCTACTAGCCACAGGATAACGTCACTACAACAAGAATTTTAATTGTCCCTACCAAATCCAATCCAGAAAATTAAGATTTCTTTTCTTCTTTAGGTGTTCAAACACAGCCCTTCTCTCCAACTTCCTTCAGCTGTTGCATAAGCATACTAGAGAAAGGAACACCTTTCTCTATCCATCATCAAGATCATTCCTTTAATTCACAATCATGGTTTCAACGAAGTGCTTCATGACATCATTGTGGCATTTTTCTTATAGAAAGGGAAGCTCCGCAGAGCCTTTTGTCATCTGAAGGACTTAAGGAACAGTCGTACACAGTGGACCAAATAGCTACCGTGTTTGAAATAGCAAAGGCTCCATAAGAAAATCAGAAAGGCTTTCCACACTGTTAGACCATTGCCCTGTTTCAAGGAGCTTATTTTCCACACCTCAATCATTTCATGGTTCAATTGCTAAAACTTTATGTCTGCTAAATCTCCTCAAAATATAATTGGGAAAGATGTCAACGACTATAACTTTGTCTTAGAAACAGGTATTGCTTCCTCGATTTCTCCAGTAACTTCCAGCCTTTCACTGAACTGGATCCCAACTATTGTCTCCTCCACACAATCACCTTTTTCCATGTTGCCCTACACTCGGAACATCCTTCTAAATTCTGTACTTTTCCAAATCCTTCCCAATGAGTATTTTCTACTGCAGGCTATCATTGATGCATTCTTTATCTAAGCCCTTGTCACAGATTTTGTCAATATTGCGAAGTCCATAGGTACAGATCATGTTCTTACACAGTTATCCGGTATAAAGATAAATAATAATGTAAAAACAGTCAAACATCCTTTTGCCTACATCACTAAGGCACGATGGAGTTGAACATAGATTTCATTGAAGCTTGAGGTAACTTTTTTAAACATAATGCAAATGGTAGTGATGAGAAGAAAATGAAGGTTAGATAATTAATTTTGTGCTTCTAGGGGTAGGTTAGCTTATCAAACCATTATGTGATTTTGCAATCCAAGTTGTTAACTCTTGGCAACAGCACCTCACGTCAGAAATGAAATGGATTAACATGTAAAAAGTCCAGCAAAAAAGCAATCCTACCTTCGTCTCCTTCTGGCGCATAGGAAGCTGTGATAATGTCAATGTCAGCACAGTTCATCACAATTTGGTTGGTTGCCTGTTTCACCTGGAAGAGAAATTTTATGAGCATCAAGAAGAAATGGTGTTCCCTACTGCCTTGAGCTTCCTTAGGTAGGCATTGCCACCTCCCTTTAATCTAAAGACCCCTCCATCATCAAGTATTTGCAATAAAATGTAGTGCTTAAGAGTGGTAAAAAAGAAAAAGGTATTCCACTGACTGCTCTCGTTTGTTCCGGAACACGCGTTCCAGAACTTGAATCATGTTCAAGCCATCTAGGCCTACTTATCAAGGCTGTAAATTATTTAAGGGAATGGACTGCCTGTTAAAAATTGGTATGTAAGCTTGACAATAGAGCCCTTGTACATGCCTGGGAATCCAAGACCAATAAAAATAGATAAAGAGCCTGTAAGCTTCCTTTTAGAGATGACCTACAGGAGACTACAGTAAAAGCCTCTGAACACAAACTTACACCTTTCAGAGATAATCAGAAATACAGCCTACGGTACTGTGTTCTAAACTGTCGACACTAAGAACTTCTTAGGTTAAAAACATCTGCCAAGAAATTCGCCTTTACATTTTCCTGAAAGCTTTCCTTCTGCCAGCTCTTGGCTACATGCACTTTGCTTTATTTAACAAGTGGCCAGCTCCCAGCGTAGTAATACACTGTCTAACTGTGCCAGCTTTCTATTTGGATGCAGGAGCTTGAATACAGAGGAATTCAAATTAAATATCAATTAATTACAAAGGGGTAAAATATTTGGGAATTAAACTAGGAATTATTTAGAAACTTATGGCTGAAACCACTAGGAATCATCACGCTGGATCGAGCTGGTAATCCTGCTAGTCCAGGATGCAATTTCTAGCAGTAGACAACACCAGTTCTTTAAATAAAACAGCAAGAATTTCTATAACAGCCAACTAGAGTTTAACGTATACACAAAGGAACTGCTTCCTACCCCAGACAGCAAGTTCCTTAAAGCATAAGGACTTACATCCCTTTCTTGGTTTTTCACTATTATAACCTTAAAATGCCCTGTTAACACCTGTACCCATCACCCTAGCTATCCATGTTTGAACACAGCAGAAACCAACTGGACTTATTTGCCTGTGATGGAAACTGGTTCCCATGAATCAAGAGCTCCTTCGCCCCTGCAGCAAAATCAGCAAAGCATGTGCACGCCAGCTCACCATTCAAGCATCTGAGTGTAAATGCATTTATTACAAGTAAAGCCAAAATAATAAGCTGTGAAGCGTCATATTTGAAACAGACACTTATCACTCTGCCATAAAGGAGGTGGTATCTACACAAGATGAGTAAACGGAAGCAGATATTCAGTCTTAAGCTGTTCTACCTAGGCCCACTGAAGAAATGGTTCCTTAGTCATTGTGTATATAAAAACCAAATTCAAGTCTAGTCAGTGATAAGAGAGGCTTAAGAAATTTAAATGTAAAACTTAATAGGCGTACCCACATCATAAGAGCGGTCCATCTAGTCTAATAACCTGTGAACCAAAGGGCTAACAGCAGATACTCCAAGGAAAGCCAACTCCCACAGCGGATGGTTAACACAAGACAAACCTAACTCAGAAGTTTCTTTCTAACCTCAGTCACCAACTTTGCTTCTGAAGCAAATGTCCATGGCTTATTCCAATTAACAGAATTGTTTGTATAGTAAGTATTATGTAAGGGCTTATACTTTTTGACAAGCGTAACTATTAGTGAATCTTTCCAAATCCTGCTTGTCAGTCACCCTGCAGTAGTGTGTCCTACAGAACAACGCAGAAGAGCTGTGTTGTTTTCACCATGCTGCCTCTTTATGGTAATAAAACCAAAACAATGTTACCTAATAAACTTAACCTGATTCTAAAAACAACAAGCTTGCAAAGCATAAAACTAGCAAATGTAACAGCTGAAGTGACAGAGGTTAGCGTTGATGCTTCTAGTAAAGATTTACAATCTGAAATCCTTTTTCTTTTTTTTTTCAATTTGGTGTGCATGAAACTAAAGGATTACAACACATCCCAAAACCTAAGATCAAAGCCCAACAATTCTCATCACAATATTAGGGTTTGGGGTTTTTCAAGGTCTTCTAAAACACAGAAAAATCAGAATGAGAAGAGCTTTTTATAAATGTCTAGTAGAGACCTTTATTCAATCTACAAATCCAAATCTCTCTGGATTAAGAATTCAAGATGCATAGAGAGCTGTCCAAATTGCAGACAATACTGGGTTTAACAATAGGCTTGATCTTTAAAAAACAACCTCTTCTGAGGACAGAAGAATTTTCAGTGTAGCACTGTGCCTGCAAAATAAGAAAGTTTAGGTTTAAGCGGAGACAACTTCAGAGGCTCCTTAGGCAATTGCCTATTTTTAGATTTTTTTCTTACCTCCTACAAATATCAAGCCAGTTTTACAAAAGAGTGCAACATACTAGAAAACGTTTAAAGGGACAGAGTGAGCCAGTAGCGTAAAAAATGTTTACCCTCCAACTCCCAAAAAATTCAGCATACAGATATGAATATCGACAGTGTACTGACAGCACACTTCTGAGGCTCTCATAATTTAATTCAGTGGGGAAAAAAAAAATTCTCACGTTGGCACACAGGCTCTAGCATGGGAGCCTCCTCCCTCTGATCCACTAAAAATAATGAAGTACAGACACACCTGCAAGAAACAAAACCAAAACAAAACTATAAACCGCCCAGCATACTCAACTTATGACCATTTTATCTCACCAGAACCTATAGCCTAATGCTTACAGACACCATGTATATTATGAAGATGAATTAATGTTTTACTGTAAGTAATACCTTGAAATTGCTTTTACATTTCTGTTAATACTATGTTCTGTTCATAGTATTCTGCTCATGCAGTGCTTTTCATGAATGCAATCATATTAAAAGGCAAAAAAGTATCTCACTGCATAAGGTATAACCAATTACAAAGCTGTATATATGCGAACTGTCACCCTGCTTCACCCTGCTCCGTAATATAATAAATTTACTCTTCAACAAGAGGAGGCTAATCAAGGCAAGAGCATGCTACAAATGCCCACAGTGAAAGTAGTTTGCCATAAGGTTGACGTGCTTAGAAGCAGCAGCGGAACTAAGACCAGCATCTGGAATGAAGGAATGTTTCAAAACTTTACACCTATTGCTTTTGATGAAACTCTAGTAACATTAATCACAATTCAAATACCTACTGAGATTAGGCAGACATACATACCACAAGCAGGTCTGCCCTGCAATAAAACTGCAGACCTTTAAGACGTTTTAATTGTATCGGTAACCTGTCGTTAGACTAAGATGACACACGCTTCCCAACCCCCTACATATCCACATTCGTGCTCAGCACTTGTTTCTGGGAAGGAAAACCTCACCTGATAGGAGATAACAGCTTAAGTTCCACCCAAAAGTTTTCCAAGGTAACATCATTTGACGGAAGAAGAGCTAAAAAGGACTTGAAGATGATGTAAAGCTTTTGATTTTCACCGGTTATCAGAGCAGGAAAGGACTTGAGGGAAAAACCTTTTAAGGACATCAGAAACAAGAATTTGAATGGCTTCAGTAGAATGCCAGCCTACCCAAAATACAGGATGAGGTGCACCAAAAGATATCTTCTATAGTCAAAACTTATTCTCTAGAGCCATTCATAAGACTAGATAATTAAAATCTCATCACTCGGCTTCAGAGTCCTTTTCTAAATGTAGCATTATAACAAGCATGTATGTTTTTAGCATTTTACTCTCTAAAAATAGACAACTAAAACTACCTCAGTTCTGTTCTAGGATATATCTTTTTAAGAATTTCAACTTCAATAAGAAAAGGAATAAAAAGTTTTACTCATATGCATCTCGAACAAATTATGGTAGCCAAGTAGTAAAATTACCAATGCCACGACTAATTGGCCCACTGGAAAAATTCGCTTCATTCCAAAGAGCACCCAACGACATTATCTGTAGCAGTTGCACATACTTCAAAAGTGTCAAATTCACAGAGACAAGTAAATCCCTTTGTAACTATGATCAATGCAATCATCTTAGCCTTACGAATTACAGAACTGAAAGAGGCCTTTCTGTGGGAGAGAAGAGCAAAAGCATTCCTATTTTTGAAGCTGGTGGCATAAGGGTACACAGAGCCCCGAGGTCCTGACTCTGAAGCACCAGACTTGAACACCCAGTATGGTACCTTTAACACTCAAATTCAGATCTAATTTTATGCACTGGAAATGTAAGTTACAATGCTGGATAACATGACTGTATATTTATACTAGACAACCTACCCTCCCAAAGATACTGGTCACAAATACTACACCCATTAAGCCTAATTTTTCAAGGTTTACATACAAGAGTGTCACAATTAATCTTTAACTGGCATGCAGCAGGATTAGAAGACTACACATTCTTTAGTCTAGCAGATACTGCATAATTAACCTATAAAAAGCAACAGATACAGGTTAAACATTGCTAAATATAACAGAGTATCCTTCAGACATATTGAAGGCACCGAGAAAGATATTTAAAAGAGCCATCTACCTCAGGTTGTAAATTCTTTAAAGTAAAGATGGGTTGCTTTGCAACCAAGAAACATTTCACTGTAGTTCGCAATGAAAGAAATGAATCACCACACGACACCCTCCGAAGAAGGTAGTTTTATAGAGACAAGTACCAGGAAGTTAGAAGACAACCATGCACCTTTCTGAAGCTCTGCACCACTACACCCTGTGCCGGACAGGTGATCGATTGGAGCCGTGACAGTGTTAAGAACTTCCATGTAGAAGCTTAAAACAACCGTTGAACTTTGGGAGCCAAATGTTTGTTTCTGTTGCTAGTTACTCATGTTTGCCTTTTCAGCACGATGCTGAAGAAAACAGAACGGCCACACATCCCCTCTTTGTTCCAGCCCTCCGTTAGGCCTCCCAGGAGTCAAAAGCAGAATGGAAAAAAGTTGACCTAACACTGAGTAATATGAGTGCACTGCACTGATAACTAGACCCTGAGAATCAGGGTTATAATAATTAAATCTCAAGCTAACAGATGAATAAAGTAGATGAGCTATTTCCACCAAAAA